AGCATCATCAGTAGCTGCTGACACCATTAATTCTCTAAAAGACAGTGCATTTCCATGTCTATGTTTATCATAGCCTGTTTTAAACTGGAATGCGGGTGGCGCTGTGGGTTAAAACACAGAGCCTAGGACTTGCCGATCAGAAGGTCGGCAGTAAGAATCCCCGTGACAGGGTGAGCTCCCATTGCTCGGTCCCAGCTCCTGCCAACCTAGCAGTTCAAAAGCACGTCAAAGTGCAAGTAGATAAATAGATACAGCTCTGGCGGGAAGGTAAACGGCGTTTCCGTGCGCTGCTCTGGTTCGCCAGAAGTGGGTTAGTCATGCTGGCCACATGACCCAGAAGCTGTACGCTGGCTCCCTTGGCCAATAAAGCGAGATGAGCGCTGCAACCCCAGAGTCGGCCACGACTGGACCTAATGGTCAGGGGTCCCTTTACCTTTACCTTTTTATTCTAAACTGATAACTACTTTTGTGGAATATGAGCTCTATAGGTGTTTCAAACTTTCTGGCACACTGCTGGAACATGTTTTAGGATTACTGATTAGAAAGAGAATAAATTACAAACTTATTGCTGGTTCTGAAGAGAATCTCACTTGCTGGCATGCCAACTCATTATAGTTCTGAGTTAAAGAGAATTGCGTCTATATCTCAAAGTGTCGATATATGTACCTTTTCCATGCTCTGGATTGCTGGCTAGGCCAAGATCTGAGTCAGTGTTTTCATACAACCACTGCTGATTCATCCAACAGAGCGACCTTTTAGGGCAAGAGTTCTCAAACGTTGCCATATGAAGCATCTTTAAGCATTTTAGTTTCTCCAAGTGCAATGCAGGATCAATCAATATTTTTCTCAGTTGTGGTTTTTATCCTTTTGATTCTCAAAACTACACTGTGTAGGTTTGGTTAAGTGGAAAAAGTTCCTGGCCCAAGGTCATCCAGTGGTCTTTGAGATTAAGGGAAAACTTTGACACTGGTCTCCCCGTAAAAACTCAGTGGTCTAAAATACTATGATTATTATGATTACTATGAGTATTGTTCTTATTTTTGTTTATCCCCCTGTTCTTTCCAATGGGAGCCCAGACTGTTGTACAATATAATAAATACAAACCTTACAATAATTAAAGGTTAAGGTAAAGGGACCGCTGACCATTAGGTCCAGTCGCGGACGACTCTGGCGTTGCGGCGCTCATCTCGCTTTATTGGCCGAGGGAGCCGGCGTACAGCTTCCAGGTCATGTGGCCAGCATGACTAAGCCGCTTCTGACGAACCAGAGTAGCGCACGGAAACGCTGTTTACCTTCCCGCCAGAGCGGTACCTATTTATCTACTTGCACTTTGACGTGCTTTTGAACTGCTAGGTTGGCAGGAGCAGGGACCGAGAACGGGAGCTCACCCCATCACCGGGATTCGAACCGCCGACCTTCTGATAGGCAAGTCCTAGGCTCCGTGGTTTAACCCACAGCGCCACCCGCGTCCCTTACAATAATTAAACACATTTTAAATTTCATGCCTAAAACCACACAAAAAATACATAATGCACAATAACAACAATTCACTGAACTTCCCAGGCAACCATTTATGACCACAAAGCCCAGGCTGAAAAAACATGCATTTGGTTAATGTCTAAAGCATTATCAATGTGCATACTGAGTGGAATTCAACATAGCGTTAAGTAGGGTATGTGTTAGGAACGAGGTCTGCTTGTGCAATGTGACTTCCATCCTCCTTCAGATCTATTCTTTGGGGTCCCTGAACCCTCAAGGGCAGAATAAGGAGTGTGCGCAGCGGGGAGAAAAGAAGGAAAGTCCTGTTGCACAAGCAGAACTCATTCTGCACATTCGGCAGCTTAGCTGAATCCCACCCACTGGCTCTCATGATGAAGTTCAGTCTTGCTGTGTTTCAGCCTGTCTCCAAACTGTAACTCACCGTATTCTCAGAAAAATTCTAAGAGGAAGCTAAGCAACTGCAGTTGGAGTTGGAGACATGCTGAAAGAATGAGATTACTAGGTCACCCTTTGGGGAAAACATCTCGGGCAGACTCCATACTATGTTAAAACAGTAAGTCAACAGACTTCACTACATACAAAAAAAAAAAAAAAAAGAGCATTAGCTCAGGTGAATTTAATATTCTAGCCCAGGAATTGGGTACATGCACATTTAAGGAAAAAAGAGGAAGCAGAGCTCATAGAACTCTATAGAATGCCATAATGTCTCTAAGATATAAACCTATGGAAAGCAAAATGTCTGCCAAAAATACCAGGTGTCTTTTGGTCAAAATAACCACAGCAGTGGGAATGGGATTTCTACCTCTTGGCCAACTCCAAGAAACATTCAAAACTGGTGCAGAAGCTTTGTGAACAAAACAAAAGTATCATTGCACTGTATTTTACTTCAGCACCCCTTCCCCAATAATCTAATAGCTTTAGGATCCCTTTTTTATTGCAACGATCACATTTCTAGTGGGAGGTTTGTCATCCTTGCCCTTACAAGGGTCTGATCCATTTCTGAAGACGATCATTGAAACTATGTATTCCATCTGTTGTCGTTTTTTAAATGCAAATCAACTTACATTTATTTATCTTTGGGCAAAACAACAACAGCACTGAAATGTTTTCTCCTTCCAAGTATTGTACCGACATTAGCTAATTAGCTACTTTTATTCCAAGGAAGCATAAATATCCTTTCATTATCTGTAGTTCTGACATATTTTTGTTAGGGCATAAAGCTATTTATTTGCAAATTTGCAGTGTACTTTGGGACAGTTGGAGAGTATTTTTTCCCCCCAAGCCTGTATGGGCTGACAACTGCTAGACACTATAACGAATCGAGGGAATGAGCTGCCGATTTCTGCAGCTCTTCTATTATTTTGGTAAGGAATAAGAACACCCCCCTTTTTTTTTGCATAATGCATTCAGTTTTCCAGTCTGCTCAGAGTACACGAAAACCTCATAATGTCACTCAGTGGATTATATGAACAGTGGCACTGTATGCATGTGACAGAAAGAGCCAGGAAATGGGTTTGTTTGCACTGCTGTAATACATAAACATGACTGCCAGTGGATAACGTCCTCCTGCTGGGTGTTTCATACTGCATCATATGCCGGTCATGTCACGTTAGGCTGAACAACAAGAGCAGCCGGGGAACAAGAAAGGGCAATGTTACACCCGCAAATCGATGCTACAAACAAGCGCCAAATTGCTTCTTCCACAGCATCCGAAGAAAGGATGACAAGAGTTAACATAAGGACACGGCTTATTTCAGTTCACAAGTTTCAGGACTTCCATTTAACGCTTTGGAACTTTTCTGAGGACTGATTCATACAGCCATTGGAGGGTGGGGGCAGAAAGCAACTGTTATGTGGTATTTCCCATAATTTTAATGTGGAAGCCCACCTTCATGAGGGGGAAAGCAACATTATTATGTACGGAAGCATACCGTATTTTTCACTCTGTAAGATGCACCAGATCACAAGACGCATCTAGTTTTTGGAGGAGGAAAACAAGAAAAAAAATATTCTGAATCTCAGAAGCCAGAACAGCAAGAGGGATCGCAGCAATCCCTCTTGCTCTTCTGGCTTTAGGGATAGCTGCGCAGCCTGCATTCGCTCCATAAGACGCACACACATTTCCCCTTACTTTTTAGGAGGGGAAAAGTGAGTCTTATAGAGCAAAAAATACAGTAATATCACATGCTACCCTTGTTTGAACACAAGAGCTTCTAGATTCTGTTGTATATTGAACCCTTGCATTTTAACAGAATCTAGAAGCTCTTTCGTTCAAACAAGAAGCATTCAATCTAGAAGCTCTTGCGTTCAAACATTTTAACAGAATCCAGAAGCTCTTGCATTCAAACAAGGGAAGCATGTGATTTTCCAGTATTACTGTGCCTAAAGGTCTGAGTGGATGGAAAGAGAAGTAACATCTACACAAGCTCAGGAAACACCTCATGTTATAATCATATTATATTCGTACAGTACTTGAGTTCGCTTTCTTCACCTCTCCCACTAGGAACCAATAAACTTCAGGGAGTAACTAGCAGAGCTACCAATTGCACTAACTGAACTGCAGTTCGGGATAATATGTACTGCTAATATCATGGACCTCCATTGCTTGCATATACACAACTTTGTTAGCCTGATTGATAATCCTGATTGATAACCTTACAAAAAACAAAATTGTTTCCATCATTGCTTTCTGTAATCACATTAACCTTCGAAGACACCCTTTGTGAAATGTTGACCCCGTGTGCAGCTGCTGTGAAAAAAATCCGCCGACAGGGATTGAAAATAAAGCCGCCAATGTCATAATGCCATTATAAAAGTCCCCTGGTGCGAACACTCTTGGAACACTGGGAATGGTTCTGGTCAGCACATCTCAATAGGGATATTGTGGAGTTGGAAAATGGGCAGAAAAGGGCAACCAAAGTGGTCATGGGCCTACAGCAACTCCTCTTTGAAGAAAGGTCACAACGTTTGGTGCATTATAGTTTAGGGAAAAGGGTATGAAAAAGAGGAGACATTACAATTATGCATGGTATGAAGAAAAGAGAAGGGGAGGGAGTTTTTCCTCTCACTCTCGTAATACTAAAACCCAGAATCACCCAATGAACAATTCTGGATGTTGGGAGATTCTAGACAAATCAAAGGATTTTTAATTGTGCTTAGCTAAACTATGGAATTCATTCCATAATGGTGGCCACCAACTTGCATGGCTGTTTAGGCATGTAAGGTGGTCAATGGCTACTAGTCATAATGGCTGCATGATACCCTCCAATACTCCAATACAATCTCTGAATGTGAGTTGCAGGAAATCATGGTTGGGGAGAGCTGTGCTCAGGTCCTGCTAGTGGACAGGCATCCGATGTGCTGCTGCAAAAACAGGATGATGGACAAGATGGGTCTTTGGTCTTACCCAGCAGAGTTCCTCTTTTGTTGCTAGCAATTCAGTATCACGGTACTCATTGCTCCCCCCCCCCCAGTTATAAATTGAAATCTGTTCCATTTACCTATCATGGGTGACTCTATAAAACTCCATGTATTAGTCTGAGGGACGTATGACTGAAGGACTCCAGCGGCACGACCAGCCTCATTTACTCCGCCAAACACATAGATCTTCCCACCGCAAACGGTGGCAGCTGCAGAATGCACAGCCTTTGGCAACGGAGCGACTGTCTCCCATTGATTGGTGATAGTATCGTACCTAGAACAGAAAGACATATGAATCAGCCTAGATGCTACGGTGATTGGCACTTGCCAACGGCTAGGCAGGAAAACAGCTTTGCAAATACGTCTTTGCTCTAAACCCACGGCAATGGACAGAAGTTCTATATTCTCGGTGCAGACAGTGTCAAAGGAAGCAAGGAGAGTGGGAAAATAATCCAGACCTATTAACTATGTATGACCCTTATCTCATTATATCCCAGGATTTAAAAAAATAAATAAATGCAGGATACCTTCTTATTAAGGTGACTTCTACCAATTAATTTCTGCTAATTAGAACAGAGTGAGATTATTCTTGCAAATCAGTTCAGCGATATTCAATGGCAACTGGAGGCAGGCAAGTGTTAAATGCACTGACAACTGTTTAGCTTGAAGATCATCTGATTTTCAGACATAATGCAACATGATAGCTCTCTCTGCCCCGGTAAACTAGCTATGCTGGGGATGCACAAGTTGCCTCTGTTTAATTTTCACTGTGTGGACAAAGCTACCACACTTCACTGCAGGTTGCTGCAGATGTTGATGGGAAATGTGCGGCAGGAATAAGATTTCACCGCTGCATCCATTTCCCCATGTAGCACCGAAGATAAGAATATGCGTTAGAGCGCTAAATTAGTTCTGAGGTCATTGGTATCAGATTTAATTAAGCCATTGACCATAAAGATGTACAGTTAATAAACCATGGATGAAGATTCATTTTAGACAATGTCACCAGTGCAGACACCTATTTTTTAAGCTAACATGGCAGTGATCCAAATAACTCCTGCAAAATGAGCTTGGGAGACAGTAAAAAATGATATGGTTGTTAGGCATCAATATTTCCATGGAATGGCAGCACATCTAGTTAAATAGCAGATTCGTGAACATAATAGCTAGAGCGGTAGATTACAAAAATAAATTACAACTCTCTCTCCCCAAACCGCTTCTCTCTCACACACACTTGCACACACCTCCAATGTTACTGAGAAATAGCAGCTAACAAACATTAAAATTGTTTGGATTCATGTTTCCTGACTCAGGATTATTTTTGTAATGGATTTATTTATTGTTAATAAATACTTTATTTGTTTTAGGTAAAGGTAAAGGGACCCCTGACCATTAGGTCCAGTCGTGGCTGACTCTGGGGTTGTGGAGCTCATCTCACTTTACTGGCCGAGGGAGCCAGCGTACAGCTTCTGGGTCATGTGGCCAGCATGACTAAGCCGCTTCTGGCAAACCAAAGCAGCACACGGAAATGCTGTTTACCTTCCCGCCGGAGCAGTACCTATTTATCTACTTGTACTTTGACGTGCTTTTGAACTGCTAGGTTGGCAGGAGCAGGGACCGAGCAACGGAAGCTTACCCCTTCGCGGGGACTCTGATCGGCAAGTCCTAGGTTCTGTGGTTTGACCCACAGCAGATGGAGACTGCAGATGTTATCATAGGGACAGAAGTTCCCTTTTCCGTACCTGTTCCAGAGTTTCTCCCGGGGGAATCCCAAGGTTTGCAGAAATCGACATAATTTTATAGTGCTGGGGGAGCGGGTAAGGAAAAGGGAACTTAGCATGTTATTCACTGAAAGAGAATTATTTGAAAATGATTCATAGATGGTATTTAACTCTGAGTAGGTTGGCTAAGATTTATAAAACAGAATCAGATATGTGTTGGAAATGAGAAGAAGTGGAGGGAATCTTTTTCCACACGTGGTGGACATGTATAAAAAGGTAAAAATTTATTGGGAAATGATTAATGACGAATTGAAAAAAATGTTTAGAACTACTTTCCCAAAGAAACCAGAGTCCTTTTTGTTGGGGATAACCCAGAATGAAATTCCTAAGTGTCAGAAAATGTTATTTATCTATGCAACAACTGTGGCCTGTGTTTTGTTAGCCCAAAAATGGAGAGGGTGGGAGGTCCCAACTAAAGAGGATTGGCAACTTAATTTGGCAGAATATGCAGAACTCAGATTTAGCATATAGAATAAGAGAGCAAGAAGAACATTTACTGAATATATGGAAAATAACTGCATAGAGCTGAAAACGCTGGCAGCATTAAGATAAATTCAACAGAGTAAATAATTTTTGATGGATGTAAAAGTGGAAAACTGATTTGAATGGTTACAGTAAAATATGCAGGGATATGTAAAATGAACCATGGAAAGAGAAGAAGGGAAGTCATTGGATATTTTAAAGTTTGCAAAATGTATATTTGGAATTGAAAAATTGAAAATTCAATAAAAATCATTATTTTTAAAAAGCCTTGGGATTTCCCCAAGCCTATTGATACCTTTCTCTTGTGCATGGGTATCAAGCAACAGCACTCACACCTGAACATAAGAAAGATTTCTGTTACTACTACTACTACTACTTTAATAGCCTCAGTCTCTTTCCCCTCATTTCTGTCATTTTGTGTTTCTCTCTTTACACAGTCTTACTGTTAAAGGCTTTTTAAAATTTTACTCTGCAGCTCCCGCTGAGTGGGAAAGGGTCTGTGCATTATCAACCTCTCTTTCTCTCTCCAAATTGTATCTCAACACACATCAATTTTTCCTAGCCTTCTCCTCTTAATTTCTCTCTGTCTAGGTTAACAGCTTTATGGGCGAATGCTTTAATTTACTTCTGTTTCAAAGCCTTTGCACGATCATTATCTAGAGTTTATATATTATACCTTCACCATTATTCAGAGTACAGCTTACAGAAAAGCAGTCATGGAAAAATAAAGCTGTATTGTGTATCAAGGTGGTCTTTCCCTTCCCACATGACTAGTGACATTTTAAACCTTTGTCCTGACCGATTCAATTTTCTGTACGCTTTTCTCCTCTCCTTTCAAAGAATCTTCTGCCTGAAGTGTTACTGGTCAAGAGCTGTTTATAGAATTCTTTCTGAGACATCAAGGTAGCAAAATATTTGTTGGGAGAGTAATGAAACACTATGAATCCCTTTAAGGGCTTCTGTCCAGTTCTGCATAATAAACTGAAGCAATCACAGCTCAAAGGAATCCCCAGCCCAGTCCAGGTGCAGATCTTTATCTGATCTTATTTTTCACAAATCACACCATAGAAAGCAGAGAGTTGAAGAAATCCCCATCAAAACAACCTGCCCATCCCTGCCGAAGGAGAAAGCCTGTTTTCCCTGATGGATAAGCATGCAGAACGTGTTTGCACTGAGCTTAGAATTTTATATTAATAGAGCCAGAGACATACTTCAATGCTGAAATATATGTATATATAATCAGGACTGAGGGATCTTCATCAAAGAGAGAGCTGGTACAGCATAGTGGGCATATCATTCCTCCAAGGATCTCCAAGCAGCATACACCCCACCCCTTTCATCTTTACATCCACCCTGTGAGATAGGTGAGGCTGAATGTGCAAGTGACTGGCCCAAGGTTACCCAGGGAGTTTCATGGCAGAGTGAGCAATTCATTCTGGGTCTCCTCAGTATTAAGACCGACATTCTAACTGCAGCATCACACTGGCTCTGTATAAAAGTTCCCAGTTCTAATCTCAGAATGTTGAGTAAGGGACAGGCCCTTTAAAAATTTCAGACAGGCTCTCTGGCAGGTGGGGGGGCAGAGCCGCTGGAAGGGGTCCTGCCAGTCTTCAGATCACTCTGGTCGTTTACTGAAACCTTGTCTTCCAAAGCTCAGTCAGTAGGGTTCTCTGCAACTCTCCCAGCCTGACCTAGCCTTGGACAATCTTACCACTTCTCCAAGAACAGAACAGGGAAGCTAGCACTACTGACCTACCCTAGGGGTGCCAACTCGAATAATCAATCACATGACATGGCACATGGACACCATTTGAATGGCACTGCCCATCAACTTGGTGGGGCGGCCCCCCTCAAATATTTTATGGGAGGGCGAAGGGACCTTGGCCCCTAGGAGTTGGCTCCTAGGCAAACCTCATAGGGATGTTGTAAGTTTTCAACACATAATGTGTGCAAAGCGGTCTGAACACTCTGCTGTACTAACAATGACAATGACAAAATCTTCAAAATGACTAAACTCGCTCTCCCTGATGAAATGCTTGGCTTAAGAGTGGATTTTTGAAATTTACATTTATATTAGCAACTGGGACTCCTTATTTTCAGGTATTTCGCCAAGTTATGGTTCAGTGAGCATTTATTTATACTGAATTCTGCATAAAGAATGTGAAATGATGCCACTTTTTTCAACAACATTACGAATCAGCCACGGGGGACGGTATATTAATAGAGCATTTTTACCTCTCCACGTGATCAACGTTGCCTGCTACACCAAGGCCTCCAATGGTATATATTTTCCCATCATACACCAGGCTGTTGTGCCGACACCTCGGGACTGTCATTCGGGAAACGAGATTCCAGTTATCGAGTAGTGACATGTAACACCAGACGTCAGAGAGTGTGACTCCAGACTCCATGCCACCTGCCCTCGGTATGTAGAAGGGGAAAAGAACCAGTGACTTGGCGGGAAAGCAGCTCTTGGAGCCTATTACAGTACAAGCCAGTTGCAATGCAATATCTTCTTCCAAATGACACTTGACTAATTAAAATAAATCACCCTCAATTGCAAGCATCTGTTCAGATGATGCAGATTGGTGTCATTTATTCATGTATCCCAAAGGGTTTTATTTTTATTTTTAAAGGCTGTCATGATATCAGACTAGGCAGGACATTTGCATATGGGAATATGCCCAGGCGGCATTCATAAATAACCTGCAGTCTATTCAATTACACATCCAACTGGTATGAACTGACTAAGCAGCTAGCTAGGCGCTCTCTCGTTGGAAACAGCAAAGTGTCACACCACTTAGAAAAAAGGATGTATAGAGGGGCCCTTCTCAACACCCCTGATACTGACACAAAGTTCGATAAACGAGAACTTCCTTGAAGAGTCACATCCAATGCTATAGTGTATGCAAGTAAAATTATGCTACTTATAGAACATATTGTACAAATCAGTCGTCTAGGTGCTTGGGAAAAGTGTCAAGCACTGTGTTAATGAACTCTGCCAGTGACAAGAGTTTGTTCATTTTCACCGGAACCAAGAAGAGGGTTGCGGTTCATTTTCAACAAGAGATTTCAAAGACGAACGAGAGCAAGCCTCCTTGTAAGCAAATATGGTAAGTGTAGGTCAGGTATGCAACAGCTCAGTCAAACAGATTTGAGTTGCAGAAACCTGTCATTTAGATCCAGCTCCCGCCAATGTTTTACAATGCGGTTGCAATAGCAAGGGGAAACTTTTCGCATGCTTGACGGGGTGTTGAGCCTATCCTTTGCAGGTTACAAGTGCCGAATGCACTGGGGAGGAAATCTGAGCTGATGTGAAATGGAATGTGATAAAAGGAAGTCTCTCTTTTCCCAGCGAGCTGGCACATAATTCATCCTCGTTTGGCCTGTCACACAGCCTTCCAAATAGACAATGCCCTTCTCACCACTGCTCACCTGAGAGATAGACGTTGTCTCCAGCACTCACCACGCTGAAAAACTCCCTGTCGTAGAAGGGCAGGCTGGCCAGGGGGTACCATTTGTTGCTCTGGGGGTTGAAGCACGTTACTGCTGTTAAGGCGCGTTGATTCATCCCGATCATTTGACGTCCTCCGACGAGGACTATTACTTCAGCCACACCTAGGATAGAAAATTAAATATATGCATTTGCGGTTTTATATGTCTGTAACTTGCCTTCCAGTTCATAACAATGAAGGGCAGGATAGATAGATACAATATTTCAAACGCACACCCCCTTTTAAAAATAGGTTATTGCTAACATTAAAAGAAAAACAACAGCAGTGATATTAAGGCTGTAATCCTATACCCAGTTTCCTGGGAGTAAGCCCCATTGAGCTCAATGGATTTACCTCTGAGTACACATATATAGGATTGTGCTGTAAATCAGCATAAGAGATCACCCTCAAGGCTAAAAGTTCTTTTTTATTCATTTAATAATCAATTTTTATGAAAGGTTTTCAGCGTAAAATACAGTAAAAGCCAAATGAGAAAAATATTGCATTGTCTTTTCCTTTCTGTTTTCTTCTTTTTGCTCCTCTTATATTTTTTCTAAATGTTCTAAAGTACTATGCGATCGTTCCATTTTTCACCATCCCCAATGCAGATTTGAATAATTACTTCATATTTACTAATAATGCAATCCTATGCATAATAACTCTGTGTTGAATGGTTCACTGCTTTGCAAGTGTGTTTAAGTGCCTTAAGGTGCAACTGTGAACCAGCTTGTTATGGAGTGAGCTTCTGGGTCAGGATACGTAGGTTTGAATCTAAATAAATGGAAAGTGTTCTGACAGGTATCTAAACCATGCAAAACGATCTAGTGAACTTCTTTAGAGGCCAATGTGACCTTAGATAGAATAGGAGCCAACTCCTAAGGTCAAGGTCCTTTCGGGCCCCCAATAAAATATTTGAGGAGGCTCCCCCCCCCAAGTTGAGGGGAATTCTGATTCAAATGGGTAGGTGGGTGCCACATCATGTGATTGATTATGTAGGGCAGGGGTCATCATCATCAACAACAACAACAATTTACCGGTATTTATATGCCACCCATCTGACTGGGCTACCCCAGACACTTTGGGGAGCTTCCAACAAATTAAAACACAAATTAAAACACAGTAAGAATCATAGGAGGAAATTCTAGGGGGCCGTGGATGCTTGGGCACCCACAATAATATAATTGTGGGGACTGGGCACTCACAAAGTCAATGAGAAAAGCCAGCAGGTAGCAGCAGTACTGCCTCCGAGAGAGAAGGAGTTTAGCTCCACCCTCTGCAGCCAGCCAGTGAAGCACCCTTTTCCACGGGAATGGGCTCAGACTCAAGAGACAGGGTCTCTCTGCCTCTGAGTCTGAGCCCCTCCCTGTGGAAAAGGGTGCCTCACTGGCTGTGGGGAGGAGGAGGAAGAGGAGCCACAGCCGCCAACCTCCACAATGCAGACATGTGACGTCACACGCACTTGCATGTAGTGCGTGCGATGTCACACGCACTACATGCAGGCGTGTGTGTGTGTGACATCGCAATTCCGCGTTGTAGTGGTGTGCATCCACAATCCTGAAAGCAATCTGGCACCCCTGGTAAGAATCAAACATTCCTGAGCTCACCTGCCTCCCCCCCCCATATTTTATTCAAGTTGGCGCCCCCGATGCAGAGCCAGGTACAATTTGCCCAGTGGGGCGCAGTCTCAGCAACAGTCTGTTACTGAGAGGGTGAGCGGCAAGGCAGCAGCAACACTGGGACTGTGTGTTACACTACTACACCATTAGAAATGCTTCATTGGCTGTGCTGGTGCGCTGCACGGCCCTGACCTTGTCCCCCCATCTTGTCTGCCCGCCTCCCAGTAAGCAGCAGCACTGCTGCTTACTGAGCCATTCTGGGCCATTCTTACTGCATGCTTACTGGGCAGGCCATTCTCATGCACAGCTAGGTTAAGGGGTAAGAGGAAGACCAAAGCAGAACGTACTACAGTGGTACCTCTAGATGCGAACGGGATCCGTTCCGGAGCCCTGTTCACATCTAGAAGCAAATGTAACCCGTGTCCGCGCATCTGCGCGGGCCACATTTTGGCACTTCTACACATGCGCATGACGTCATTTTGAGCGTCTGCGCAAGCGGCAAAACCCAGAAGTAACGTGCTCTGTTACTTCCGGGTTGCCGCGGAGCGCAACTTGAACGTGCTCATCCCGAAGCATATTCAACCCGAGGTATGACTGTACTTATTGCAAAAACTGAAATAAAAAAAAGTCAAGCCAACTGTCCAAAAATACCAAATGTATTCTAATCAAGGACAAAACATCTTCAATCATTCATTGCACTGATTTCTTTAAACACTTTACAGTGGTACCTCTGGTTACGTACTTAATTCGTTCCGGAGGTCCGTACTTAACCAGCAACTGTTCTTAACCTGAAGCACCACTTTAGCTAATGGGGCCTCCTGCTGCTGCCGTGCCGCCGGAGCACAATTTCTGTTCTCAACCTAAAGCAAAGTTCTTAACCTGAAGCACTATTTCTGAGTATGTAACCTGAAGCGTATGTAACCTGAGATACCACTGTACTGGCTTTGCTTGCATGAAAGTCAAGACTTCTATGTCATTCCTCCAAGGGTTTCAAGATGGAAGCATACATGGATTTCCTTTCAATGCATCCTCATGACAACAACCCTGCGAGGAGGAGAAGGCTGCAAGAGAATGACTGGCCCAAGGTCATCCAGCCTTGTGACTGAATTGGGCAATGGGGGGTGGGGTGCTAAAAATTATGTGAGTCTAATGGTTAACCCAACCCTAAGAGCATGCACCCAAACCACTGTTTACAGTCTTTGTCCCATATATGTCAGAAACTGGAAAAGCAGTTTTCTCTTGCGTTATATTTGCGTATGTCTTATGAGAACATAAGGAGATCAGGAACATTTTCAAAAGGTACCCATACATCCTCTGGTAGGAAGATGTCTATGTGCTATTATCCTCTATGCATTTAATCACTTTGTAAAGTTATATATATAAAATGGCAGGAAAAACTCATCACCTGTGCCAAATCTAATGTGATTGTAATGAATGACCTCAAGAGGGCATTGCAAATACTGCAATACTCACAAAGGATTTAAATACCTTTTGCAAGTACATTAACAGTTCCACATAATTGGACTTCGACCTACAAAAATAATCACTCCCTTCCCCTTATCCCTGGAAAATTACTTTTCTTTAATCAACAAGCTGCTGAAAATAGCATGCATTACACCTATAATTTTATCTGCAAACATTAAATAGGCACTTTTCAAAAATACTTTCGACCAATAAACCTATTAGCCAACCCCTGCTAAGGGGTTTGAGAGTGAGCAGTTATTGAAAATCGTATGTGTTTCATATTTCCCATATATTCCCTGATTAAACAGGGTCTCTACAAACTAAAAAGGATGCAACTCGACATATAATTTCCTGCCGTTCTGATTCTCCTAGGCAGGATGAAGCAACTTCGAAAAGGCGTTCTGTATTCCTTGCACATACAAATCTACCGTGCTATCTTCCAATTTAATAGGCGCACAGAAAAGTTTAGCACTGCTGTGGTAAAAACTGAGTTGTGTCTTCATATTCCCGAGAGAATAAGGCACAGCAACTGAAGCTATTCTCTTTTTACTGATTTATTTTCAGTATTTCTATCCTGCCTTTATATGAAAATATATTCAAGGCAGCAAACAGGTAAGGGGGGGGAATTAAAATAATATATTAAAAATGATAAATTTTCAATAACAGTAAAAACAGAGTTAAGGGGGTGTGGAACCAACAATTGCTATAGAAACACCAGCAGTCAGAAACCGGTTTAATAAACAGTATCTGAAAATGCTGGCTGAAAAATACAAGTTTAAGTTGCTTGCTGAGAGGCGGAACTATTGGAAAGTGTTGAGCCATAATCTTCCTAACAGTGCATTTCTCTGAAGGTCTACTCTCAGATGAATGTCTATTCACACTGTAAATCATTCAACAGATGACTGCAAAAAATGATGGAGGAGAGGGCTATCGGCAGCTACTAGTCACAATGGCTATGCTCTGCCTGCATAGCTGAGTCTCTCATTGATGAGTCTCTTAACATCAGGCTTGTAGGATCGAGCCCCATGTTGGGCTAAAGATTCCTGCATTGCAGGGGATTGGACTAGATGACCCCCAGAGTCCTCTCCAACTCTACAGTTCTATGACTCTATTATACGCATATTCACACAGAAATAAAACCTATTGAAAAATGAGGCTGCAATCCTATATACATTTATCTAGGAGTAAGTCCCATTGAACTCAATGTGGCTTCCATCTGTGTAAACATGCCTAGGTTCAGTCTGTTGTGTATATTAAGCATAACGGCTGGTTGTTTTGTACGTTAACCACTCCACGACCCTAACATGCACTTTATAGGTCTAGATATTATAAGCATTTCCATTAATTGGCTCAGTTGGTTAGCGCATGGTGCCAATAACGCCAAAGTTGCAGGTTCGATCCCCATATGGGACAGCAGCATATTCCTGCACTGCAGGGAGTTGGACTAGATCAGTGGTGTCCAAACTTTTTTTGAAGAGGGCCAGATTTGATGAAATGAAGGGCTGTGGGGGCCAACCAAAGTTGTTGAGTCGGATTAAACCAACCGACAGGCCAGATTGGGCCCCCAAAATGGACTTTGGACATGACTGGACTAGATGATCCTCAAGGTCCCTTCCAACTCTACAGTATGTGATTCCATAATATATAGTCCATGACCTCCTCTGGCCCCACTGTTGCCCTCCTCTCCCCCTGCTCACTCCCCTATTCATGCCACTCCTTCCTGCTATCTATCTATCTATCTATCTATCTATCTATCTATCATCTATCTATCTATCATCTTTCTTTCTTTCTCTTTTTCTTTTTCTTTTTCTTCTCCTTTGCTGTGTGATAATGGCACAATATAATATCACCAAGGCAACTATCTGTAAATAAACATTAAATGTCCATAAAAATGGCAAAAGTAGTTTCTTTCCCAAATAGGTTTTATCTTAAACAAGCGCAAATGCAGTAGATAAAGAGTTCAATTGTGATATACCAGTGGTTCAGTGCTTGGATGTTGTTCCGGTAATCCGACGTTTTGTCGCTAAAGAGCTTAGTCTTCAAGCTTTGTAGAAAATAATATACACGAGAAGATAGTATGCAAACGACTTAAAGCAGGGGGTATATCTGTCCCCATCTGCATGTTTCCATCAGGAGGAGCATAGGAAAGAGGACGATGGCCTTCAGTTTGTTAAACCTCCTTCAGTTTGTTTGTGACTTCTCCAGCACCTTGGCTCTGAGAAAGGGCCAAATGAGTGCTCTTCTTCAGAATGAGGTATGTTGGACAAGGTGCCAGGAGAACATTTGCATCGCAACCACAGTTTGCCACAACAGCTTCTTCAGCAGCTATTCTTTAGTGTTGACCTTGAATGGCCTCGGCCCTTTTTCCACCTCCACCATCCAGCCCAGACACGGAGGTCCAGCTCTGAGGGCCCTCTGGCGGTTCCCTCACTACAAAATGTGAAGCTACAGGGAATCAGGCAGAGGGCCTCCCATCAGAAGTCAGATAAACAACTATTTGACTTTTAGAAGACTTCTAGAAGACATCCCCTGTTCAGGGAAGTTTTTCATGGTTGATGTTCTATTGTGTTTTTAATATTTTGTTGGAAGCCGCCCAAAGTGGCTGAGGCAACCCAGTCAGATGGGCTGCATATGAATAACAAAATTACTATTACTGTTAGACAGCTTTCCTAACTGCAACAGCAATCAGAGGTGGTGGTGCAGGTATTCTCTTGGCCACAACCCCTGGAATGCCAGGTTCTGAGAAGAAATATACTACTGGCTTTTCCTCAGAGGGTCCCAAATGAGGCAGGAAGGTGGAGGCAGGTGGTTAGACAGCAGTGTCTGCTCACCACTATATGAGCCCAGCCGTTTGCAAACGGGCAGCAGGTCAGGCTGAAGAGAATCCCTCAGCCAGTGCCTGACACGGATGACCTCTGGCACCGGACCTGTATGTAAAGAATATATGGTCTTGTTTAAGACAAACTTAGTATCTTCCATGATACAGGGGCTTTGAAAGGGGATCAATACCAACAATTGGTGTCTGACAAAGCAGCAAACATAGCTCTCCCCCCAACTAATGGCGCCGAGCTGTTTTGAAAATATGGCCGGTTTGTGAAAGAAAACCAACTGCTGGTGACTTAGCACCTGTGGTGATGAATGATCCCTCTCTCTGCCACAGGGGGAATCAGTGTCAGAGCCTGAAGTAGAACTGCAGGGTTCCTGATTTCACAACCTGCAACTCAGGCTGTATCTTGGAAGTGCCACGGAGAGAGCGCGAAAAGGAAGTAATTTAATCTTGCAACCATATGCAGACCGTAAATAGTCCGCCTGACCTGTCCCTGTCCCGTCAATAACTGCAGGGGGGGAAAAGAGAGAAAGATAGGCCCCAGAGTTTCAGCTCTGAAGCGAGCTGAGCTGTACCTGCTGATAACCTGGGTCGGGTTCTCGGAGTCTGCATCTCTTGCCGGGCGTGAGGCAACATGTGATAACGCTTCGCTTCATTCACTAGATCCCGGCAGGCCTCTGAAGACTTTATCAACTCCTCATTGTCAACAACGTTTAGCAGATAACTGGGATGGATGAAGGGTAGGCGGACCACTGCCAGCAACTCAGGAGCATACTGAAAAAGCAAATGTAACAACTACTTTACACAACTGGGTTGTCAAGGACTCTTCGCTGCTTTCCCCCCTCCTGTTTGGGACACGGTGACATTCAAACTGACCCCACCTTCAACTTTTGTAAAATGCATTTTCCGTGGCTCCCCCTTCTCAAAAGGCAATTTGGAGTCAGTTGAAGACAACACTCCCCCCCCCCAATGAATCTTTCTATCTACCTCTCTGCTTCACTACCATCAAAGTCTTTTTAGGTCTCACAGTGGAAAAATAATCTTCAAAAGATAGCAGCTCTTGTTCTACACTCCTGCACACATATATTTCAAACTAAAAACGGATGGTGAATTTATGCTGAATTTATACCCCTTACACAGAGGAGACCTGCTATAATCTTTCCAGTTTCCTCCGTTAACCTTGAAATTTAAGACCGGCTGCTTGGTTTCAAACAAATAGCTATTCTAGTGGCATTTTAAATGTCAAAAAAGTTTATGTTTATAGAAAGTCTAAGGTGAATGCTTGAATGATGACATTGGTTTTGATAAAGCATGGGTTTTTGTTCACTGGCAAAACAAATATGTTCTTCCAGGTTTCGCTAGAAGTCAAACTCCAGGAGCTAATAATCAAATGCAGATGGCATATCTCCATCTTTCTGCATAAATAAAATAAACTTTATAGTGCAAAGGACATTTAAATGGCTGGAAACATCCATCACCAGCCAAGGCTTAACAGAAAGCAAAAGCACAACAGAGAGAAAATTGCACGTTATAAAATGAAGAATTCATGGAATGATTTATTTTTCTAACTGTTCATTCTCCTAAATATCACATACTGCCTCAGAGCAAAATGCGCACAGCATTTGGTGAATGTGCTGGCAGACAGAGCACAGGAAGAAAAAGCAGACTGGTACAAAAGAGGAAAGATGATTAAGAACAGTCAAGGATGTCGCTAGGACAATGCACTGATGCACTGGAAACAGACATTTCTTTAAGGACCCCAGAGCTGCCAAACGAGCACCTGTGATCTTTAGGCAACTGGGAACATTCGGTATAATTCATAACTCCTTCCTTAGATAATTGTTCACCCTTAGAGAGAGGTTGACTTTAATGGAGAAAGGATGATAATGACTGAGAGTTGAAGAAGCTGAAAGATTTGTGAGGAGTGCAAATTAGTACCACACCTAATGCCCCAAACATGCATAATTCCAGTTTTCTAGACAGTGATTTAAAAATTGGATTCATAAGAAGTGTTCTGCAAATATGTGGTTAGTAGCTGCCACCATCATTGATCAAGTAATTCCAAAAATAATTTGAATTCCCTCCCCGCAATAGGACATTAACCTCTCCATTTCCAGAGCTCCAATGGTCTGATTACAAACTATATTACTACAAGTAATAATTGGCTCAGTGAGACAGAAAGAAGATAGTTGGATACCTTTTTTAAAAAACAACAACACCCAAATAAATCCTGTTTGTTTAACAAACTGGCTGAGATGGAAATAAGAAGGGATTTAAAATGCTGCTTCTCAGGTTTTGCACCAAGCTAACACCCAAGTACTGAAACCTCTGAAAACCCACTTATTTAATTATTTGCCTATCTAACTAATAACACAAAAATGATCCATAGGACAGAATAGTGTCTCACCTGCCATCTTGCCACTGTAGCTGGAAAGACCTGCTGGGACTCAGATTTTAAAATCCCTTGCCTTTTCAGAAGCAGGAAATGTTGCAGCACAAGGAGCAAAATAAGGACCCGATTCTGCATGGAGTTACTTCCTAAATGTACACAGTAAAGGTAAAGGTACCCCTGCCTGTACGGGCCAGTCATGTCCGACTCTAGGGTTGTGCGCCCATCTCACTTAAGAGGCCGGGGGCCAGCGCTGTCCGCAGACACTTCCGGGTCGCGTGGCCAGCGTGACAAGCTGCATCTGGCGAGCCAGCGCAGCACACGGAACACCGTTTACCTTCCCGCTAGTAAGCGGTCCCTATTTATCTACTTGCACCCGGGGGTGCTTTCAAACTGCTAGGTTGGCAGGCGCTGGGACCGAGCAACGGGGAGCGCACCCCACCGCAGGGATTCAAACCGCCGACCTGACGATCGGCAAGTCCTAGGCGCTGAGGTTTTACCCACAGCGCCACCCGCGTCCCTATGTACACAGTAGTCATTGCTTAAGTAATATGAAACATTCTTACACAAGTGGGGGCACACAATTGCGCCTGCACCATTTCATACTGGAGCTTTGCATTTTAAAATACCCAAAGTCAGCTAGTCATGGTGTCACACTAGGATCCGGAAAACCATGATTCAGATCCCCACTCAGCCCTGAAGCTCACTGAATGACCGTAAACCTTTCTGCACTTATCATTTATAATGATACAGCTGCTGTTTGAGCCAACATTTAGGAGTGAATCAGTACCTGGTCTCTGTATCATCCAGAAGCGGCAGCTCAACTGCGGTTACAAAAGAGGGACAAGGTATGGGCCCATAGTTCCCTGATTTGTAGGGCTCCAGAGACAGCATCTTTAAATCGTCTCACTACAACCTCTTCCAGGCTAATGGAACAAAGCCATCTTTCAATGACTGTTGCCGAAAGCCCACAAAGGATGTTCTCTGTCTCTTCTTCCAGTGTTAAAACAATATAGCCACATACTGCCTGGGATAAACTCTGGCAACAACTGCTGAAGCAATCAAGAAAAGAGCTCACCCAACTTTGTTTAATTAGATTAGTGAGGAAAATTCATCCTGTTTCTCTCCCTTTGTGTGAGCTTGTGCCTCATTGAGAAAATAATGATAATAATAATAATTAGAACAGGTTGTTCTGTTTCAGTGTCACTTGTTTGAAGCTAATGTCATAAGACTCTGATCTCCCTTGCTCCTGCGCAGTTTCTAGCAGTGATTGATCAATCTCTTTAAAACAAACAAACAAACAAACAAACAAACAAACAAACAAACACAAAGGTGTTTTAGAATATATAATCTCACTGCCCCTGAAAGAGGACAAAGACTTCTCTCATATATATATATATATATTATGTGTGGCATTGTGTGTGTGTGTTTTCTCCTTTCGGCTAGCTCTTTTAACCAATAAGGTTGAGGACAAATTTCATTTGGCTTTACTGATTTAAATACATTCATACAAAGAAGGCACTCCATAGCTTATTTCTCTCCATTCCTGACCTATGATTGCTTTTTTAGGGCTCAGCTGGCTTCAGTGGCTAGGAACCAGCTCTTGATGGTTAGGCAGCTATGAACCCTATTGGACCAAAATGACTTCATAATCTGCTAACTTCCAGATTGAATAATTATGATGTGTTCTATGTGGGGCTGGCCCTTTAAAACAGATTACTGGCTAGGGTTTCCCTTTAGTCCTCATATAACCTGTTTTAAAACAGCTGAGATGTGTACTTTAAGGACCCATCTTATTTCTGTGATTGTTGTATTAAATTGCTTCTAGCATTGTGTTTAATTGTAACCCGCCACAGGACCTTAGGATGAAGAGTGGGTAAATACTACTACAGTACTAGTAGTACTATTACTACCTACGTGTTGTTAGCTATGTATTAAATATCTTGTTAGCATAATTCTTCTTACTGAAACCTGGAGTAAGCACTGTTTAGCATTTCAGCCTCCTTGCCATCTGCCACAACTTTACCATCGCTCTCTTTTGTTCTTTCCTACGAGAGCTTAGTTTAACATGATTTTCTTTACTTCCCTCTTCTTCTTTTCTTTTTAAAAAATATACATTTTATTGAAAGTTTTCAGTGAGAAAAGAAAGGGAAAGAAAAGAACGGGAAATTCAAAACAACCAAACTGAAACCGTGATACAATTTTCAAAAGAGGATTTTGTAATATTCCAAAGAGCCTCCATCTTATGAATGCATTTTTATGTACTTAAGAAATCAACATGTCTAATTCTATATTTCATTGGTTATCTATATGCAGGTTGAGACTGGGTGTTTAGGGACCTGCAAACAATAGGTCGTGGGCTACACAAAAATTAGGCTTCAGCTTCTTCAAAGTTCATACTAAAGTTCAGATAGGGCCTTGTTTCGAGGAATCAAACCAATAATAATAATAATAATAATAATAATAATGCCCCACCCATCTGGCTGGGGTTCTTTGAAACAAAGAAGAAATGCTATTTCATGAGTACTAGCAGGTAAAGTTTCAATGAGCTCCATGTAGACCAATGCGGAAGCAATCTAATTAATGACATCAAATAGCTTTTTTTAATCATTCTAAGATTATTTTTCTTTGCATTTCATAGCTCCTTTAGGCTACAGATCAGTAAGCAGTTAAGCATTCTTAAATCAGCATGACTTCAAAAACAACAATCATGTGCCAAATTGTATCTTCAATGTAGATTTTGTTCTTGGCAACAAGCCTAATGAGCTATGTTTACAATGGGATACTATACTCATTTTTGCAGTGGAATAGAAAACCGAGACATGGGCATTTTCTCATGACCACCTCAAGGTGCTATGACTGACTGGGAGATATGAGCACAAATAGTCTTCCAAATAGCATGCAATCTAACCATCAGCTGGATTGTGCAACTTTTGTCCCTTTTTTGTGCAACTCTTCTAGCCATCCAACTCCCTAATGCAGAGATTCCCAAACTGTGGTCCACTGTGTGTCAGTGGATTTGTGACTGAAGGGATTCATATTGATTTGCATTGTATTTTTATTGCTTCTTTTATTTCTTATATTGTACTTTATTGTATTGTAATCTGAATTCTATGGAATTCCAATTGTAATAAAGGTAACTTGCACCTTATACAGGGGTTACTTTACTTTTTGCATCTTCAAATTTCCTATGGCTTAATATTACACTGGAAAGCCATTAAACTTTTTGACACTTTTGGCAGTTAATACCCTGAAAGGTCAAACTAATGTTTCCCTATTGTCTTAAATATCATCTCCCTCTCTCTTTTCTTTTCTACAGCTGCTATTATTCCATGCAAAAATGACCTTTGCTGCTGCGGGACTAAGCAAACATTAAGTAGCAGTC